GAGGTCTGGCAGCACAATTCACCTGTTCCAATTACCGGCATGGCATCCGAAATAAGCGGAGGAAATTCTATTTATTTTCTAAATTCGGTTTTGTTGTATCATATTTGTCCCCAATTCACCTGGACCCAATTTCTATACTAAGATCAAATACCATGGTATTAGTACATTCATTATTTTTATTGGTATTGGAGTTTTACCCTTGCACCCCGATCTATAAGGCTGAGGTTAGGAAAGATTATTTGAAGAAAGCATTATGGATTTATTAGTACTATAGCGCAACTATTTAGTGAAGAAATTGCGAAATGCCTCTAATAACCATTCTCATTCTGTTCCACTTTCACTTTTATTTTATGATTTGTTTGTTTTAGTATCCCATCGGAAAACATCTTTCAATGCCTCCAGCAGCACAAATCACTCTCTTCTGCAAACTGATTCTCTTATGGCTTGGGATATTTCTCCCCTTCGGCAATTTGTATTGCCTCCTGTTGTGGATGACCAAGCCATGCGCCATCACTCAGGTCATGGCAGTCGACCAAGCCTTAGTGACGAATCTCCTAGGGGAGCTCCCAACTGCCTGGCTGCCAATGGACTAGGAGCTGCCTGTTTGGCTATTGGAACCGACCAAGGGGCCGTATGGCTCGTCGATAGATATTCTGTGTCTCCAATTCACTTTCCTGACAATCAACAACTACAGGTATGCGATTTTGTACTTGCATTTAACTAAGTAGTAACTGCATTATTACTCTTGATTCCCGGTAAATAGCCAAATTTTGGGTTCTTTTTAATTTTTATTCCCACCTCAATCTTTAATATTGAAAATCATAGCCGATATAGTCTTCTGCATTTATAAAGTGATAACGCATTATATATAACGCTTCTGAACTTTTTCAATTATTTGCCTCTAGTTATCGCATAATCATTTAAATCCCCTAACTCTTTCACCTCCCTTACTCTACAACTTTACATGGCCAAAAGCTGCATATTTTTCGATAATTCTTTATTTTCCAAAAGACTGATCAATTATACTGTAGAGTCAAAATTATATTATCAGGTTTCAAATCAAATCTTTCTCTTACTCAATGAATTTTGTTTGGTCAAATAATGAAAACCTCATTGATTTTAAATCTAGACATTCTGGTGAGTAGGAATTGACTAACGAGGATCTGCGGTCTTTTAAATCTCTATATACGGAGTTAGTGGCTCGCTTGGATATTATAAGTCTTAATTTTTCAAATCAACTAAAATTAATTATTAATTATTTCATGTC